AAAAAAAAAAAAAAAAAAAAAAACCCTGTGCAGACTTTTATCTTCTAAGCCTCTGGGACGTAAGGATTTTCAAGATGATGATGTCAGCACAGTTATCAGCTTCAATAATCCTTGCATTTTTAGAAGATTCTAATTTCTTTATGCAACGTGTTGCTTTTCACTAACAAAAGAATATGTTCAGATTTGTATCTTCTGTTCTTCCACCGGGAAGTCAAGATCTTAATGGTGATGAGGTTGACACAATTATCAAGTTCAAAAGCGCCTTGGGCATTGATGACCCTGATGCTGCTGGTATGCATATGGAGGTAAGTATTCTACGTTGGTCTTTGCGTCGTGACATGCAGATATGAGCTTTGTGGTTGTTGGTTAAAACTAATTCTGCATGATTTTAATGAAAATTGATCATTCTCTTGGGTTTCTAGATTGGTAGAAGAATTTTTAGGCAACGACTTGAAACTGGAGATCGTGATGGTGACATAGAGCAACGTCGGGTACGTCATTTGTGCTTATTTCCTTTTGCTTATAAATATCAGTTGAGAATATTTTCCATGGTCTTGAAGAATGGAGCTTGACCATTAAGGGTGATACTCCAGTGCAGGCATTTCAGAAACTTATATATGTATCAACCCTTGTGTTTGGAGAAGCGTCTTCTTTCCTATTACCTTGGAAGCGGGTATTTAAGGTTACTGATTCTCAGGTAAACTTAATTATTTTAATTACAGTTTTCATTTGTTCTTGTTATCTTTAGTTAGATACAATGGTATGCTGTTTAATCAATTTGTTTGCTCAATGCTTGATTGAGCATATCTGATTTGACTAATTGTTTTATAATATTTTGCTCAGGTTGAGATTGCCATCCGCGAAAATGCTGAACGATTGTATATTTCTGAGCTAAAATCAGTTGGAAGAGGTAAACAGTATTTTCGATGGATACACATAGGTTCTTATCTCATCAAATCATATGCATTTATTGAAGGGTTTGACTTTGCCTCTGTCTTTGCTTTCTCATAAAAAAAAGTTTCATTTTCTTGGTTACACAGGGTTCCTCTTGAAAGTACATTTTCCCTGTTGAGAGATGGTTAAAAGTAACTAAACCGTAGTATCTTATTATAATTTCAACGACATATTTCAGCTAAAAAAATCAGTTTTATCTTTTTATATAGGAAAAATTCAGCTTTTGAGCTTAATTAAACTTGTAAATCTTAATAGTACGAAGTCAATTATCATTGTAAAATGACTTTCGGCATCCAGATATATTGTGCCCATTTCTATCCTGATCAGTATGTAATTGATGCAATCTTTTTCAGCTTAATTAAACTTGTAACTTAATAATGCATAAGTCAATTATTATTGTAAAATGACTTTCATCATCCAGATATATTGTGCCCATTTCTATCCTGATCAGTATGTAATTGATGCGATATTTTTAGATGTTAACGCGGAGCAACTCATAAGTCTAAAAAATGCACAGCGTTTGTTTCGACTTTCTGATGAGGTATCTTAACTTTTCATTTCAAGAGCTTTTTGAAAAAGTTCATTGTTGTTTCTTCCAACATAATAATTTATTTACTTGCAGATGGCAGATGATTTGTTTAGGGAGCATATGAGAAAGCTGGCCGAGGAAAATATATCAGTAGCACTGAATATACTCAAGTCCAGAACAAGGGCAGTGTATGGTTACCTTTCCTTCAGTCTACTCTCTGTCAGTTATCAAAGCCAGAAAGTTTTCTGTTAACTTTCTAACATTGTAAATTAGATTTCTTTTTTATGAAAGTTTCTTTGATGGATCCTCTCTCCCTCCTGTCTTAAAGAAAGAAAATTTCTTATTCACAAGATAAAAAAGGGTATAGAACAGTGGAAGAAGAGAAGGCTTACCTATTAGCCACAAAAAAAAAAAAAAAAAAAAAAAAAAAAAAAAAAAAAAAAAAAAAAA